CCCCAAAACCCCAAAACCCCAAAACCCCTTAGAATATTTGCTATAATGAAATTATAAGAAAAGAATAGACTTAAAATGGAAGATACCAAAAACATTAAGCACAAGAGGAAGCTTCCTAAGACAAATAAGGAGAGATCAAAACAGCACAGGATCAGGAAGAAGAAGTTTATCGAAGAAATGGAGCAAGAATGTAAACTTCTCAGAGAAAGAGTCAGGAGTTTAGATAAGGAGAACCATCAACTTAAAGAGCAACTTGCAAATCTTTCCTCGACTGGAGGTTTATCTTCAACAAAAAAGTTTGAGCATTCTTTGCATCAGTATGAAGACTATGTGTACAATAACTTAGGAAAGAAGATTCTTGATGATCCAGCTCAGGTTAGATACAGCACTCTCGAACATGCAGTTGAACATATCTAGGAGTGTAGGTGGGCCAGAAGAATAATCTTTAGTGATGATAGAATCGACTATATCAAGACTTTATTCAACAGTAATTTTGGTCCCTCATGTTTAGAAATCTTAGACAACATGGTCTCACATGGCGCAAAGTGATTCTTCCTGTGAAATCGCATGTTTTCTATCAAATAAATGGAATGGAGCTAATGGGTCAAAGAAGAGAGGGAAGAAATATTTTGCAAAAACTTCAGATGCTGCCATCACCAAAGAACATCTTCACAGACTTCTCCTTAACCCCACAAGCTACACAAATATTCACCCCTTCAGTAAGCCCATAACTAATACCACAAACACCTCACAAAGATACAAGAAGTCTGTCTCCCTCATCCACTATGAGCTGGTACAAATATTTTAAACACTGGGATTTTATAGTGGGAAGAGTAGTTGTGACTAGGATTTTAGAATAACAAATCATAAGCTTTATGGTGTCCCGCAGAAGAATTACTAGGAAGAAAAGTATAGAGATGGAGAGCTCTCAGGATAGATTTTGTTATTATTTCAATCTATTGGTTCTGATTTGGGGTTTTGGGGTTTTGGGGTTTTGGGG